ATTTTTGGAATATTTACTACTAAGATTTCTCTTCCCAGATGTGTAGCAAGTACTTTGTAAGTACTATTGTTCTGGACATATGAAGCTCAGAAATAGGGTTTAAGAATATTCTCACAGGGTTCTGCTCACCATGAAGTCATAATGAATTAATAATACTTGATTACCCCTCAAGGGTAGGAAAAATATTAATAATATATAGATAAGCCATGGCTTCATTGCAGAGAATTCCCAGGTCTGAGAGTCATTTCCTTACTTTCACCCTTATTTCTTTTGGAATCAACAATATAGAACTGGTAGCACACTCTGGGTAGAAAATGAATAATCACATAGGCCTTCTGTCAATCCTGGAGCCCTGAGAAGAGATTTGTCAATCCTAAATGCTGTTTGCTTCCTTCCTCTCTCTTTCCTTTCTGTCTTTCTGTCTTCTTTTCTTTCTGTTGTGTTTCTTTCATAAAAATTCATAAACACTCATGGTAAGCTACATGTAGATGTTAAATATATTGCAGTGAACGAAATTGTGAATCTTACATTGTGAAGGAGAGACAAAAATATACATCAAAATAATACAAATATGCATGCATGCTCTGAGAGTCATCTGTATTCTAGGGCTCATATGTGTTGATCTATGATCTTGTGCTAAATTTGGAAAACATTACAGTTCCAGAGCCAATGGGTTTGTTTAATACTTCATAAATATCCAATGGGGAAATGTTAAATAGGACACATTATGACATAAAGGAGTGAAAACCAATTGGCCAAATAATTTGGGCGAAATAATTCACTCTACAAACAAACATCATAGGTCACTCTAAATTACTTGAATTGTCTGCCTACATTGATCAGAATAATTAAATTTCAAATAAAGTAGATGAGGAGCTTTGCTTTATTTTGACCCAGATGAACAGCAATAGGCTATAAATTGGAAATAATTCTAAACTCTGACCTCAAATACTATTCCTACTCATCTGTATGTAGTTCAAATAAATCACCTCTCACATATCAATGAGTAAAAAAGTAATGCAATTTTCAAGTTCATATACACACTCAGGAGCTTACTGGAAAAAAGTATTGTGAGCAAGAAAATATTCCTTTTTTAATTATTTTAGTCCACTGAATGATGACATTGATTGTAGACACCAATTTTAAAACCTTGCAAAGTTGTTCACTGAAGTATATCTTATGAAATTTATAACATTTTTATAGTCCCAATGGAAAAGGTAAATAAAAACATACTCAGGGTATTCAAGGCCAGGGAATTCTTGTGCAGAATATCTTTTTGGTATTTATTCCATGCTTCATGAGAGTCTGTGAGACTAAGCAAGAGGTAGAAAAATTATTTATGCATTTTAATTTTTTCAGAGCTTGTTCTGTGTAGGACTTTTTAAACCTATTTCATCTGGTGCTATCTTAGAGAAAAATAAGTATTATATGGACCACATCTGATTTCATCTATTTCTATAAAAAATACCATCATAATGAGTGAGAGGAAATTCTTTCTTTTGAATATACACAAATAGAATAAGAATTTAACAGAAACCAAATTAACCAACTGAAATTGTAGCTTAATAATGGCATATCTCTGTCTTAGTAGACTGTTGATTTTATTATTAATAGTTCAGATCTTTATCCCATGTGCCTACTACTGTCTTTGTAACATAAGGTATGCAATATATCTTTATTGAAATAAATAAGTTTTTATGAATAAAAGTGGGTAGGCAAAAACTTATGTTAGTCATAGGATTCTTAGAAGAAAGAAAAAAAGAAGCATTCTGTCAACCAAAAGATAATGAATTGGAAGACCAGGGACACTAAAAACTGACTGGATTTAGAATTTTTCTTAAGTTCTGACTAAGTTAATTTATTTAAAAACAGTAATAGAAATGAAGTCCTTTGCTGTACAATGAAGACAACTTACCCAGATGGCAGAACAGCTTATCTTTAGTATATTCTTATTAAGTAGTAGTGGACTTGTACAAACATCTGCTTTTTCGTCAATTTTTTTTTTTGCAAGCCCACAAAAATATATATATTGGGCAACTTATACTTCAAACTTTTTGCTATGGCAACATGATAATTTGGAAGATGAGCAAAACAAAGTTCCTTTCTATTCCTCACAAACACAGAGCATGTAGAAGTTGGAGATGAAACAGGTAGGTACCTGAAAGAGGTCATGAGTTTATGTCTTGCTGGGAGGTTTTATTTTGATAGCCTGTGGAAACATTGTGGAAATAATCATAGTATAATTATAATATCCCAAAACTTGAATACCTTGAACACTGTCTTTATTTATATACTGCCTCTACCAAGTAACGGCATATGGAATAAGAAAATAAAAGAGTTTTATAGTATACTTGTTTTGGGAAAATATATCAATTGTTGTCTATTAGTGTCACCAGGAAGGGTAATACAAATGAAACGTCAAAGGCATATTCATCAAAATTATTTGCACATTGATAGAGAGATTTGGAGAAAAGGCTTGATAATATCCAAATCTTGACTAGAAGGAGTCAAGCATAAAGGATGGGCAAGAGCAGATATTATTCTTTTAACTACCTTTTATGTCTTAAATCTCCTTTGTTTTAGCTTTAGTAGAAAGCACATAAAAGAAGTCTTTGTGCATGTCTCTTGATATTTCTTCAAGAATTAATGATCAATTTTAATTAAGCCATGTTAATATTTGTAGTTGGCTTGTTCTGACCCTTTTAGTGTCTGAATAATCAATAATAGTGCACATTAATTAGCCAATATATTTCTAAAATATCATTTTTTTGCCCAACTTTATCTTGTCCACTTAAAGAAATTACTTCCATAATATAAAGTTTATTAAATAAATTAAAATTTTCTTTCTCTCCATCTACCCCAACCCCTCACACATGTATGCATATACACAAACACACATACATATATATCCCTTGCTCGAGATTTAATTCTATCCAAGTCCTAGTTAGTTTTCAGAGATTTGAAATAACTTGTTTGCTTGAGAAAGCAAGTTTATGAAAATATTTATTTAAACCTATTCAACAAAACATAGTCCAAAGAGAACTCTAAAATCATGACCAATCACTCCAAAATACAAAATATTTTCTATCATAGCTTTGGTTATTCATTTTATGGAAGTGTCAGCCTATGGTCCTAGCCCCAATGATCCATGTGGATTAGGCAGGGAAATAAGTTTTTGTATGACATCGCAGAGGACAAATTTTGATGACTAATGATGGCACTTTATGGGGCAAGGCCTCCAAAAGTGAAGCTTGTGAGTAAGAAGATGAGAATTTGAGCTGTTATAACTGAAATGTTTTTTTTCTGTTTATTTCAACATTGCCACCTCAACAACCTCTTCTTTGTCTCCCTTATTTTTGAGATTGCAGATCATAATCTCATAAACTCTCCTATAGAAAGAGAAGGCCAAAGGCTAGGCCAAGATTTACTACCCTTAAAATCAATTAGGCACAACAGTTTAGCCATGTTTGGGGCACTGGAGGCCAATCTGAGCTGCAATATCTCAAGGACATGAAGCATGTTAAAGGCAGCCAAGCTCTCTCAGAGAGTTTTCCATCCAAAAAATAGTGAGAAGAGAAGGCAAACCTAAATATATAGCTAACATATATAAATTGGGATACCAGATATGCTAGAAAATTTGAAGCTTGAGTGGACATATAATTACATATTTCTCCAGCATTTCATAAGAGAATCAGTTATTCCGTCTTCCTAGGTTATAATGCTCTGATGGGTCTGATTCATCATTTTCACTACAGTGTAAGTGGATATGTGACCCAGGAAAACCTTCTGAGTATTTAACCCCCCTGGCTAGAGTGACTGGTATAAGATGGTCATGTGATACAAGCAGCCCCAATCAAAGTCCTATCTGACATTTTCTGCTACCACTAGCAGGGAAGACGACCTTTTTATTCTGGTGTTTATATGCTAGAAGGATATTAAATAAAGAAAAAACAGGCATGCAGTAGGAAAGAATTGATGCCAGCATACAAAGAGAAATAGAGCTCAGAGAGAGGAACAAAATTATTTAAGCCACAGAGTGAGTGCTTCCTGGAACCAGATCTACCCAGATTGTTTCAATTATGTGTGCCATTTTGTAAGCAATTTTGAATTCACTTCTGTTCCATGCATCAAGATGTATTCATGCTTAAAAACAGGCAAAGTCTAATCCACTATATATTTTAGAAGAATTATGAGGACTTCCACTCCAGAAGTCTTTATTTTTTTATCTTCTGAGTATTCTGGATAAATTAGATATAGCATGTGGATAATGGAGTTCAAATATGTATACTTCATAAAATGATTTTGGAGATTTGGGTGTAAGAAAAGCCTATGATTGCCCAGGTTAGAAGCTACTGCAACGTTAGGTCCTAGAAGTACACTGGAAAACAGCCATATGACTACAGAGGTGATAGGGCATTATGATGCTCCCTTACTGAGGTAGGTAAAATTGGAAGGTCATTTTCTGGGAAATTAAAAGGTTTCAGGGCCCTAGAAGGCATGCCCCATAAAGATAGTTTTAAGTTCAGAGTAAAAGTAATATTTGTCATAGTAAAAATATATAAGCAGTGCTAATCCTACCAAAGTAATAAGGTAATAGCTGTTGTTCTTTATATGGAGGGCCTGAAGGAATCTTTATTTCTTTTCCAGCTTCCCCAGAGTTTGTTTACTATTTTTCCAGCTATACTAACAGATTCTTTGCTGCTTTTTTAGTCATCCCAAAAAGCTTCCCCATTGCTTTTTCATATTTTGCCCACTGACTGGTCCCAAGACAATACAATATATTTTTAGATTTTTCATTCAACCACCATTCCTCTGAGTATCAATTACCGTATTATCCTTTGGTGCCTCCGCACCATAAGTAAGCCTCTGCAAAACATAGAGGTTCAAAACAACCATCATTTATCAACTCACAATATGTTGGCTTGGCAACTTAGGTTGGGCTTAGCTGGGTCATTCTGAACACCAGAATGTGTTGCAGGCTCAATCAAGGGTCTGAAGTCAGATGGTGGGTCAGCCGGGAATGGAGAGTCTAGAATAATCTGTTGAATTGTATTTTCTAAATACAGCCAGACAAATATATATTTTGTTCCTTAAGCTGTCCTAACCATGTGATATTGATACTCCTACACATATTAGGGGTCCATGTTTCCTCCCATTAGATCTAGGTGTGCCTGTCCTAGAGGCATGATTTCCAAGGTTAGGTTAAATAAGGATATATACAGTCTCTTTCTGGCTTTGTTTCTTAAGACATCCATTTTAACCAACCAACTATACTAAGAGGAAGCCCTAACCGTCTTGCACAGAAAAACAACATGAAGAGCCCCCATGAAGAAGAACTGACACACCCAAAGTAAGTATCAACCACCAGAGATATGTAAATCTTCTAATTATTTTAGCCTGCAGCCTTTAAACTGCCCCAGCTAACAAGTGAAGCAGTATGGACCTATCTCTGCCAAGCCATCCTCAAATACAATATTATAGAGAAAAGTAAATGCTGGTTTAAGCCACTTAGTTTTGAGATGATTTTTTTTTTTATGCAGCAAGAAATGACTAAAACAGATGGCCTCATTCATATATCTGGCAGTTTACAGACTGTTGGCTGGAGGGCTTCAACTGTATTCACAATGGTTTCTTACAGCAGAGGTTAACTCAGGTTTATTCACATTTTTGTTTGATATTGCCAAGTATAGAGAAAGAAAGGGCAAGTCTCAAATGTACAGCCACTTTTCAAGCCACAGCTTGTATCACACTTACTAATGTCCCACTGACAAAACAACATACCTAGGATCTATATTATAGCAGAGTTCCTTGGTCATGGGCTGTGAAAGGTACACTATGCATTCTGAAGGCATATGACTTCTGGCACCAAATAAAATGTGAGTTACTGCATATGCAGTTTTCTTTCTGGGGAACTATCACAAATTTCCTGGGATTCCAAACCTACAAAAAAACTGTAAATTTGGAAAGTTTTAAGAGGATGTAATCACTGTTGGCAGCTTTAGGGTGATACGGAATGAAGGTCAGAGATTTTTTTCAGGAGATGATTGGATCATAAGTTTCTATCTCACATAGGTGGAAGGGAGTCTTATGGAAAGCACCAGTCTGCTGACATTTTTAGCATTCACAAGGTTTACTGGGATTTGTGCTAGAGTAGGACATTATGAATGCCAATCTAAGACTCAAGCTATAGTCCAACACTTCTTTTTCTAATATTGCCTTGAATTGAAGGCAGTAAAGCTACCACCAACTTATAAAATGAGGAACATGGAAACTCCTTCTTGAGGTCAAAAATTCAGGTGAGAATTAAGATGTTATTTCAGTTTCCCCCCCAAAGTAAGGAACTTCATACAGAGGTAGGCCTCTGGGAGATAAAGAGCCTTTCAATTATAATAAAGGCACAGTGACCAAACCTGCCTTACAAAAGCCCAGGCTACTTTCACTAGAGCGTTTCAAAAATGAGATTTTGAAATAGATATTTACAGCTCAGAAGTGAGGCTGGATGACCTGAGAGGGAGAGCTGAGCCTCGCAGAGATGAAATCAGGATGGTATTCTATTCACTATGAGAGATCTGGCAAGATAGCATTCTATCAGAGGAGGATGGGGAAGGGACAATCAATTTGTAAAAAAGGCAGGGACAATAAAATCTCTGGAGCACAGGATGAGCAGAGACAGCAGAATGATGTGATACATCACAGTATCATGTTCTGGGCATCTGGAGCATCACTGAAGGGTACATACATGAAATTGGGACATGAAAGGGACCATATTAAATTGCCTCTTTTGTAGAATAAAAATGTTTGAATATTCCACTTGGTTCGATTTAATAATTAGGGAAAAAGGAGACATTAATATAAATTCTTCCCTCTGTCTCTATTAAATGAAAAGCAATTATCCCCAACATATGTGAAACTATATTGTCCTCTTCTTAATGTTTCTGATCTATCCTTGTGAGTTTCTAGGCAGGTCCTTGGGTGTCTGTCTGTCATATATAGTTGCATCATAATAGTTCCTTAGCTAAGCCAACGTTGCCTTACTCATCTAATACAAAGGAATGCAAAGAAATTACAAAACCTCATTAATTAAACAAAAAATCTTGACAGCTGTCAAATGTTCTAGAAATATTCCTACAGCGGGAATGTGGTATACTGCAGAGTATGCTAAGCAGGTCATAGCATTACGTTAATTGCCACTGCATGACACTGAAAAAATACATTATAACAGGTGTGGGAAGAAAAGGTTTGGTGGGAATCAAAAACATAGATTCAGCATAAGGAGCAGAGAAGGTTTGGATTAAAAATCTTTTCTATCTCTGCATCATACAAACACATATGCATATATATATGTATATATATATATGAGTATATATACACGCATACATGTATATACCTATATGCCTATAGCATTGGAATCTGAACCAATCATTGTGTTCAGGATGAATCTGATTGCTACCAATCCACATGCTCCTGAAACTTAAGTGAGCATAATTGATGGAGGCTGCACTGTATTGAAGCCTTTGACATTTTATTGGGAAACAAAACGGCCTACCATCAGACAAGGTATAAGAAAAGAATACAGTCCTTCTTTTAGAATATTTTTAGGAATTTGAAGAAGCATACAATGATTTGTTTCTCATCTGATCACATAAAAACAAATATAAATAAATATTTACATGTTTGGGCAATAAATATTTTTGAAAGTAGAAATCAATTCTAATTACAAAATACAGAATTCTATGAAGTCCATTGTTCTCTTGAGCCTGTTTGAAAATGAGAAATTTCCATATATGGTTGTCATAGAAACAAGAAAGCTTTATTCTTTTTTTCTATTCCGGCTGCTGGCATTACAATAATTGAGGCATATCACAGGCCTTTGATTTTCTACCAGTCATAGGTATACTTGATTCCATCATCACAGATCATAAGGATGCCGTATCAGAAAAAAATCACCTAAATCTCAAGATGGAATGCACTTAAAGGATGAACACACTATGCTTCATGAATATAATAGAACCTATGAACTACAAGTGGTTCTTCTATATTTTTGATAAATGGAATATGGAAACACAGAACATATACATTTTTTTCAAATCCTAAAAATTCCAAAGTCAGCATCTGAATCTGTTTGGGAAAAATGGTGATTACAGGTCACGTTCATCATCTCAACTACAAACTCTGGATAGTTCTCAAGCTTCCTTATGTTAGTTACTTCTATGGACCTTAATCTACTTTCATCAGCATTTACTGAACACTTGCTCTGTGCTGTGTACTCTTGGTGGTACAGGAATGACCAAAGTACTCATCAAGAACTCTTCATCTGGTAGGGACTCCGCAAACTCATATATGACTAAGTCTAACTTCAGACTAAATCCAAAAGGTGTCTGAAGAATCAACAACAAAAATGGAACATGAGAAATGTTAAATATTGAGGTGACTTTTACAAAGAGGTTATTCTAGTTGTATTATAAGGGGAATATAGTTTTTATTTGAAAGGTTGGGAGAGATTCTTGAAGAAAATAGGATTTAAACTCTATGTTAGCAATTGGTAGAATATAAATAAGTATAAATATCTACATCACGAAATATCTCAATTCTTATTACAATATCATTTTTACATTTTATTTTGTACATTGTCTAAAGGAAATAAGCACTAAACATTTACTATTGAGTACAAGAAGTTAAACTTTTATTTATCTTAAACTCTGAGTAGCACTACTTTACAAATGGAGACACTGGTTTCTGCTATATGAGGTTTATTGAGCAAATCTCTGAACTCCCATTTTAATCTCTGTCATGATTTAACAAGTTCGTTACCCTCCTGTCTTTAGTTTTTTCCAAGAATCAAAGAAAAAAACAAAAACAACTTTTTTCGTCTTCTTCTCTATTCACTCTACCATCACACCACTCCCCTGCTGCAGTTACTACCTTCCATATGGCGCATGTCTAGCACGATCATTGAATAGACCTTGCAGGGACAAGATCAGGTGAATCTAAGTTAAGATACATAAACAAAAATCCATCTTTTTAAATAACTGTACTTCAGCTTCTGGAACATGGGAATGGCATCTTTTCCATCTTTATATTTCCAACCTCAACACCTAGTTGCTCAATAAATCTTTGCTGAGTTCAACTGACCAGTATTATTCATTATACAAAAGGGTTATTAGGAGTAGTGTTATCTCTTCTAATGAACTTGTAGTTTATTTAAAAAAATTATATTCTAATATTCAGGAATACTTCTACTCTGAAAAGAAAGTTTTTACTGATAATTCCTCCACACCCATGGTACATAAAAATTATAGAATCACATAGGGCAAACAAACTACCATTTATAGTTTGTGTTTAGTCATACATAGCTTCTCCCTTTCTCAGTCCATTTACGGTACAGGAATCCCTCTCTAAAAGCCTCTACTTTCGTTTTCTATGTTAAATTTCACACCTCTCTTTCAAATCCCAGTATTTAAGATAGTAATATCATTCTTAAAACCTCTCCTGATCTCCTTGATAAATATCATCTTTCCTTCTCCTGATCTCCCTGAACACTTTACATGCATTCTTCCTATTGATTCAGTCCTTGATTTTTTTCATGCATTGATTAATTCACTTACGGCAAGAGTCATGTAACCTTTGAAACTAAAGTGATGAATAAGTAAAGGGTCAACTTTAGGAATTTGCAAACTAGTTACAATGATATGAATTTAAGAAAATCATTACAAAGCAATGTGATGAAGGAAACAATAGTGATATGAACTTGATATGTACTATATTTGTATTTATGTCTCTTTCCTGTCATAAATAATTACTGGAAGTCTGGATCTGGATCTCCTACTTTTGTAGATTCAAATATATGATGCCAATCTGTTAACTCTTTATTGTTTAATATAAATCACTTAATAGAAAAGCACAAAAACATAAAGGTACAGCCTAAAATACTGAAAAGCAAATACCTATGTAATTCCTAACCAGTGCAAGAAAAAGAACAACGTCAATATTCCAGGCTTTGGCTCTCCTCCCTAATTATTTCCTGCAACAATATCCTGCCATTATGATATCTACTTTCTTGTTTTCCTTTAGAGATTTGCCCACCTAATTATATACACTTAAATAGTGGATTGCTTTTCTATATGAAATGAACGAATCATAGAAAATGGACTCATTGTGCCTAATTTCTCTTATGCAACGTTATATTTTTAAGAGACACAAAGTTGTTATTGTGGGTGGTTGTGACTCACTCATTTACATTGATGAGTAGTACTTCACTGTGTAACAAAATCGATGTATTTCATTTTTATAAAAATCTCTATCATTACCAATCATTGCCTACTGTGATAAGTGCTGCTGATAATATTCAGA